GACGGGCATGGGGCATTTTGAGTCAGATGACCATATGATATATTACTCTGGAGATGAAAAGACAAGGAAAAATGGGGTTGCCTTTATAGTAAAAAAAAGTAATTTCTAGTATATTCTATGGAGGACACAATTTTTAAGGTAAAAGTTCTCAGGGAATAATGTTTGAAAACATATGCTCTATATACTATATGATTTAAATCTAGCAAAGTTCACCACTGTATGTTGGAATAACACCTAATTATTTTCTAATGTGTTAGACATGCACGAGTCATTGCAATAAATATAAGGTTTTAACTATAAATCCCATTTCTTTAAGAGACAACATTCTGCATTTAACCTAACATATATAAGATTAAGTAGTCAATATAAAAATGATGAGGCAATTTTCTCTTTTTTTCTATACTTTCTTCAAAATCTGGCTGCATTTTATATTTAAAGCACAACAGCCACGTGTGGCTGGTAGTTAGCCACTGGAAAGCATCCATCTACAGAACCTAGAATGATGATGCTTGTTTCCTTTCTTTTATCAGTAATCTGTATATTCTCTTTCTTTACTAATCTGTGAGGCTACAGAGTTATCTTATTAAACTTTTCAGAGAAGTAATTTTTACTTTACTCATATATTTCTGGTGTCAATGGCATTGAATTGTACTTTTGCTTTTATCTTTCTTCTGTTTTTGTGGAGTTTCATTTCCTCTTCTTTTTCTAGTTTATTAAGGTAGAGTGTCACTTTTGCATAGCTTTATTTTTTTAAGTTCCTTTTCCCACTTATGCTTGCTATAAGTTGTTTCTTGTCACCTGTCACCAAGAACCCCAATATAAAACACAAGTGGCTTCATTCGAAAGCTGAGTCTCAAGACGTCATTGGCTTTCCAGAGCTGTTACCATGTAATTGCTGCTAGCTAAAAGGCTCTGATGGCATAGCCTGTAGGGAGTGTGCCACCAACTCAAAGGCTGAGCCTATCTGGCAGTTTGAATCAATCAGTGCTTTCAAAGGAGAAAGATGGGCAATCTCTTCTCATGTCATTTATAGTGTCAGAAACTCAATGGGGTCCAGCTATGAGCTAGTTCCAACATAGTATCAATGAGTTTTTTGAGTTGTAGAACACTAATTTGAGATTTTAAAAAAACATACATATTTAATCCTGTCAACTTCCATCTAAGCAACACTTCGGCAGCAGTCCACACATTCAGAAACTATTTTTTAAAATAACTAGTAAAATTCTATTTCCAAAGTTGAGGGCTCAGCCTCAGTTGTCATGTCTGTTAGTTTCCTCTAAGTGTGCTCTACTGTATATAGTTTTTGAAGGCTTGTTATATTTCAGAAGTTGATGGCCAATTCTTCTTCCCGTTTTACTGTTAAGTGCCGTCGAATTGTAGGCAACTCATAGCGACCTTATGAGTGAAAGTCCTCAAGGATGCTTACTTTTAGAACAGTATCTGACAAACAAGCATTTTAAGATCATTCAGGAAACAGGGCTTTCTGAGGAGGAATGTGGTATCAGGATTGGAGGAAAACTCATCAACAACCTACGTTATGCAGATGACACAACCCTGCTTGCTGAAACAAGAAGGACTGAAGCACACTTGCTACTGAAGATCAAGGACTATAGTCTTTAATATGGATTGAAGCTCAACATCAAGAAGACAAAGAATCTCACCACTGGACCAATTGGCAGTACCAAGACAGATGGAGAAGAGATTGAGGTTGTTAACAAATACAGCATGCTTGACTCCAAAATCAACACTCTTAGCACCAGCAGTCAGGAAATCAGAAGACAAACTGCATTAGGAAAATGTGCTGTCAGGCACCTCTTCAGAAAACTGAAAAGCAATGATGTCCAGTCAGAGACTAGGTGCACCTAATCCATGCCATGGTATTTGTAATTACTTGCTATATATCACAGAACTGGACAAGGACTAAGGATGACAGAAGAGGAATCAACACCTTTGAATTGTGGTACTGGAGAAGGGTCTTGAAAATACCATGGACTGCCAAGAAAACAAATAGGTATGTCTTGGAGAGGGTGAAACCAAGTTTCTCCTTGGAGACTAAGAATTTGAAGCTCCCTCTCATATACTTTGGGCATGTGGCCAGGAGGGACAGTACTGTAGAGACAGCTATCATGCTCAGAAGAGTGGAGGGACAGTACAGGAGAGGAACACGCTGAATGAGATTGATTAATACAGTAACTGGGGCAATGGAGGTTAGTGTGTCGAATTAGTGAGACTGACTCAGGACAAAACATGGTTCAGAGCTGCCGTACATAGGGTCACTATAGGTCACAGGCAACTCAGTGGCACATTACAACAACAATAATAACTACATTTATTAATAACTGTGATATAGTAAATCATCATATGCATACCAACTGAGTTTTCATCATCTTCAAGGATGTGACTTCTCAGTCTATGACGACTTGAAGTTAGCATAAGGTCATCATCATCTTCACCGTCATTTGTAATCCCTTTTGAAAAAGGAGTCTCAACAGAATTGTCATTCAGAAAATCACCAGCATTGCTGGCATCATCTCCATCAAAAAGGTCATCATAATCCTTTTCTACTCTGTTAGATACCTGAATAAATTAATAGAAAAATATTAGGAAATCATTTGGGTAAATTTTACTACTTCATATGCACCTATAAACTCTCTACCCAGCAAATGCCCTGATAAGAATTATTAAATGCATATTTACTAATGACAGATCTATAGAGACAGATAAATACTTACATGCCCAAATAGATAAAGTTTTATGCTTCAAATATGATTTCTCAGATTCTCAACACTAAAATAAAATGATATTAAAAATATTCCTCAGAAGTCACCTTATAGTAATATGATCAAGACTGCAGGTTATCATAAAGGTTTAATAATTTATTCTTGGGAAGAGGATGTAACTAAAATTTTGGAGATCATAATAAAAAGTGACATTGTAAGGAACACTCTGAAGGGATCACAAGTTACACATACCACGTGATTAAAACACCTAACTGCTAAGCTAATGGAAACATAGTTTGTTATGAAATTCTAGTGAGAATAGCAGAGTTCAAACATTAAAAAAAAAATCTATGAGGTATCATCTCACCCCAGTAACAACAGCAAAGTTCAGCTCAGTAGCAAACAACAAATGCGGTGGGAGTGGAAAATGGTGCAACCACTGTGGAAGACAGTATGGTGCTTTCTCAAAATGTTGAAAATAGAAGTATCATTTGACCCAGCAATTTCACTAGGAATATACCCTAAAGAAACCAGAATTACCACCTAATCAGATATATACACACCCATGTTTATTGCTCTGTCGTTCACAATAGCAAATAGATGGAAACAATCCAAGTGCCCATTAACAAACGAATAGACAGAGCAGCTCTGGTATATTCACACAATGAAATTCTACGCAGCACTGAAAAACAGGGAACTCGTAAAATATTACACAACATGGGTGAGCCTCAAGGACCTTATGCTGAGTGAAACATCTCAGTCACAAAAGGACCAATACTTTAAAGGGTGAAGCTTCTCGGTTGTGGGAATGCTGCTGGGCTTTCACCACCCCCATAACAAGGCCAAGCCACTCTGGTCCACAGGTGCTCGCATTCAGCAGCACGTACAGAGAAACTCACTTTAAAGGGAAAAACTGGAAATTTTAAAAGCAATATTGATTTGCCTAAATTATCTTACTCTGTTAAAACCATAGTGTTTTTATTTGGTATTTTGGTGAGATTTTTTTGAGAGAAAATTCTCACCAAAATAATCTATAATTCCAAGAAGATAGGGTTCAATTATGTTAGAGTACTGTATTAGTTTGCCAATACAATAACTTAGTCAAAAAGCATTACCCATTAATTAATTGCATCTGTTATGCCTTCTAGAGGCTTGTGATTTCGTGTGCTCATGGGGGCTGGTTAGGTTAATGGAAAAGCAGTCACACTCTGAATTCTGCAAGCACCGTAAACTTCACAGATCAGCTATACACATTATTTAGCGTTTCATATGTGCCTAAATTAGAGACCACCGAGTGTCCAGATCACAGCTCTATTATTGCTAATATCTGATGTGTCACATTGTTTAACACGCTGCCGCAAATGACAACAAATGTGTTTCTAAGCACGGTCGTCAATTTAAAAAGTGTGCGGCAACGTTTTAACTTTGTCACCACAAAACTTTCTTTACACAAAGAGCTGTACATCATTGGAAATTACTCAAATCCTGTCTTGATCTGAAGCATAAATTTCAGGTACTTAGTGCTTTTAATAATATAGCACCCGTGCAGAGGGTAGGACGTGGTGAGGAAGAAAATAAGAGTAAGAAACCCAAAAGGATTGGCCCTAGTTAAGCACTGAGTGAACCTGACTGAACTGTGCTACAGCTTTCCTTTAGGAGAAATCCTTGTTTGGGCTTCCACAGGTCAGCTACAGTCAGAAAACAATCTACTAACTGTATTTGGTCTCATCCTTTTAAAAAAAATTTATTTTATTAATTTTAATGAACATTTACAGAGATTTTGGATTTCCATTCATTCATCGTTGTGGTCTCATCCTTTGAAGCATGGCACTAGGGCACTAATGCCTCCATACTTGAAATTGTTGCACTGTTTCTGTTACAAGGTAATTGATTAGTTCTTGCTTTTATTTTTATTAATACTTAATGTGTTAATTCGCTTGCTGCAGAAGGTCAAGGTTGCAGCCTTCAATATGGATTGAAGCTCAACATCAAAAAAAAGATTCTCACCACTGGGTCAACTGACAGCAGCATCATGAGATTGTTAACAGCTTTAGTTTGCTTGGTTCCACTCTTGGTACCAGCAGCCAGGAAATCAAGAGACGAATTACACTGGGAAAGTCAGCTGTCAGCGACCTCTCCAGAGTACTGAAGAGCAGCAATGTCAGGCTGGAGACTAAGGTGCACCTGATCTGGGCCATAGTCTTTGCAATTGTGTGCTATGTGTCAGAGAGCTGGACAGTGACTAGGGCTGACAGAAAGATAATTGATGCCTTTGAGCTGTGGTGCTGGAGAAGAGTGCTGAATATACAATGGACTGCTAGGAAAACAAACAGATTTGTTCTGGAGAGGGTGAAACCGAGCCGCTCCTTGGAGGCAAGGATTCTGAGGCTTTGTCTGACTTACTTTGGACATGTTGCAAGGAGGGATCAGTCCTTGGAGAGAGACATGATGTTTGGGAGGGTGGAGGGACAGCACAAAAGAGGAAGATCCTCGAGGAGATGGATCAGTTCAGTGATTGGAGTAGTGGGAGTAGGTATGTCAGAGACAGTGAGGTTGGCACAGGATAGAGCAGTGTTTAGGGCTCCTGTACATAGTGTAACTATGAGTCATAAGAGACTTGACGGCACAGAATAACAACAACAACAACATGATGTTAACTAGCCTGATTTCCTAGTTAGAGACAACCTAATGTGTATACATAAACTACAGAGATCAGATGCCAAGTTATTAAAAAATTATTGGGGTTTTGTATTGAAAATAATATTTAGCTTAAGATTTCTTAGAACATTTGTAAAAACAAGTTAAAGCCAGTGAGGTTTCTGATTATTTTTTGTATCTAGAGATGGTTTTTACAACTGAAATTAACATTTCAGCTAAACAATACATTGGTGAATATTATCTGATAAAAGTTGCTTTACGTAATTTCTGTAAATTTTTCTGGAAAGGTGTAATATCCTAATGATAAAAAGATTTCAAACATAGTTATCTTTTAAAAATAGCTAGTATTTTGACTTTGGCTTATTAAAATGTAACTATACAGCAAGCATTTGCATTCAGAGGCCAAAAGTTGGCTAGCCTGTAAATTAATAAACACATGGGCTTACTGAACATCTTATCCTATTTAATATTAAAAATACAAGTTACGTGAGTTAAGGGAAGCCCTTCTTGTTAATAAAAACGAGATTTTTAACCGTGGGGGAAACAAAAAGACAAATACTATTAACACCACTGTTATAAAAAAGGACTAAGATTGATGTTGTGGGGGAACTAAGAAAAGATGAATACTGTGTTGAAACAGATGAAGGAAAGAATTATTTAAAAGGAATATATGATTAGGCATTATAAGTGCAACAGCCCAGATTAAGAGGTACATTGAAAAAGGAATTGGAGGGGGGACATAATTGTGCAACAATGAATGAAATTTTTTTTTTAAAAGTGAATTAGAGGAGGAGGGAGGGAGAGAGAGTGCAACAATGAATGAATGAAAATCTAACTTTTCTGTAAACTTTTGTTAAAATTACAATTGAAATAAAAAATTTTATAAAAAAAAAAATAGATTCCAAAAAGATAATATTGCAACCTTTTAGGTGGAACACAACCTCTTAGGTGGAAATAAATATGATTGTGCTCTGTAAAACTGATGTATAATAAAATGAGAAGAGACAAAAGTATTTTGAAATTCCCATGTTTACAACACCTATGTGCTGTATGAGCAATAAAACTAGCAATGGCTGGGTTAAAGCAATTCAGTAAAGCTGATACACTGGTTGCCCTAAAATGTAAAGCTAAGCTAGAGAAAAAAAAGTTTCTAGGCCAAACTAAGGCCAATTACAATTAATAAAGACAATATTTAGCTATAAAAGTTCACCTAACAATACTCAGAGTACCAAGACATTAAAACAGTATTTCATAATATATATTCCTCGCAAAGCCAAGTATATGAAAGTAGGAAAAAAATCCTTCAGTCAAATTCAGCTGGAAACATTGAGTCTGAACAATTTTTTGTCATCTCTGTATCTAACATAATGATAGGAATTACAATTTCCCAAGAAAACAATGTCATTTGCAATGTTTCCACATCCAGACACTTTTAAGAAATGCTGTTCTATTACACTACTGTTTACCTTATTGCTTGATTTCTTTCCACTGAGGTCACAAACATTCTCCAGGAGCCCGAGATTCCCTTCAGCATCAGTATAAGCTATGCGGCCACAAGTAGGATGCCAGGCCAGGCCACAAATTGAATAACCTTTCTCATGTTTCACCCTAAAAATAAAAAAGCAGAATCTTAAAACACTTTCAAAAGCAATACAGACTATACAATTCTTCAGGTAAATTTTAATGAGAAAAAGGTTAAATTGCTTCTGACAGTCTAAACAGCTGTGTATTTGTATTCTGATAATCGAACAACTATAAATTTAAAGTGCTCCCTAACAATAAAAATAAAAAATGAGTAATAGCAAGCAATAAAGAGACAAAAGATATATTGAATCATACCTTTCCAAGCAATCTTTGGTTTCTACGTTCCAAACTATAATTGAACCATTAATACTTCCTGCAGCTAAATACTGCCCACAGGGAGACCAAGTTACTATATTGAGGGTCTATAAGGAAAAACAGTTAATAAAGAACAATTTGGTAAGATTTTAAACAACCAATTTCCAAATTCAAAGTGCTAAATCGTCTAGTTTTTATGACTTCTATTTAGGTCTGGTACATAAATGGGAGGAGAGTTTCCTATTTCATTACTTTCATTTTCAGAAATACTCAACTGTCACTAGCAGCTATCACTGTTTATCACGGAAAGATTACATTAGCATTCCAAAAGCAAAATGTAAAGAAAATTATTATCTTTAAAAAGGAAATTAAAAGAGATATTATCTGGTATCTTCTAAACAATCACCACCAAGATAACCAGTAAGAGAAGAGGACCTTGGCAAGCCATTGCTGACCTACTGAACATAAGTTTGCTTGCAATCAAAATGTGTATGCATCTGTTGTATGTATGAATGACAGAGAAAGATCCACAATCTTCTCTGCTCCTCTGAAATTCAAAAGTCTGTGATCACAAGTCTCAGTGAAATGCTTTTCACAATATAGAGTAAATAATGACAATGTGACAAGAACTTGTTCTATGGTAGGGTTAAATTCAACTTCAAATCAACTAAGATATTTTCTTATAGAAAAACACAAAGAACAGAGATCAGGTAAAACGTAGGTACTGTTCAGGTACTGGCCAAAGGTGGACAGGGTGAAGGGTGGGAAATAGATAGAACATTCTGGATTTGTTTTTTATTTCCAGTGACATTTAACTAAAAAGTATGTCAGCAAAATGTGGTTTACGCTTTCAACATACTGCAAGTGCCACTGACAAAACTTACCTGAGAGATGAAATCATCTGAAAGATCAAACTGATTACTCCAAGCTTCTCTTCTATAAAACTTAACAGATTTTTCCACAGGAATTGCCAGTAGCTATGAAGATAAAGAATTTTAAAGTTTACATTAAATTCAATTTACAGAGGATAAAAAAAAAGCTTAAATTAGCTAAAAAACCAAAAACAAATCTTTTGTTTCCTTGGAAACTAATAAAAATTATTGCTACATACTGTCAAGTTGGAACCAACTCATGGTTGACCCTCCAGTTGGTTTTTAGAGGCAGTAAACAGCATAGAAGGAGATTTCCGATCCTTCTCCCATGAAGCAGCTGGTGGATTTCAACTGTGTACCTTCAGGATGTGCTGCTTCTGACCACTAGGCCAGCAGAACTCCCTAATAAAAATTACTAGTTGAAATTTTGATAAGGAAAGAATGAGGGATGAACACTACTTAAATAAAAAAGGAAATGTATTTTCTTACACATTCTTGTACTGTTGCTGTTGGAAGTGATTCACAGCTGACCCTCCAGCAGGTTTCCCGGAGGCTGTAAACTGCATGGAAGGACACTGTTCATCATTCTCCCCTGGAGCAGCTGGTAAATCTGAACTGTCAGCCTTTGGGTTAACAGTGTAGTATCTTGCAAGAAAGCTCCCTACTTTTATACTACACTATAGTACATGACAGCAATGTTAGCTTAAAAGTTGGTTTTTCTAGCCACTATGTTAATTCCCTCTGGTCTCTAGCTACCTAAATTGCAGACACATGGTATGACAAATCATCAACAGCTGTAGGACTAGGATAAGAGAGAGAGAGAGAAAGAGAGAGAGAGAGAGAGAGAGATTGCTTCCCACAGTGAGCAGCAAGACTTGCGGGAAACTGGTGTACGACACTGGTGACAGCCAGACCGGAGTAAGACTCTGATGAGAGTGAGACACCTGGTGATGGTGGTGGAGAGACTGTGGTATTGCTGTGGAGAAACTGTGGCAAGGTGCGACCTGAGGTTTCTTGCATTTGTGACGACCACAATTAAAAGTTTAGCTATTCTTAGGGAGCTCTGGTGGCCTAGTGGCAAGAAGCTACATTGCAATCCCAGAGGTACGTGGTTCAAATCCACCAGATACTCTGCTGGAAAAGGAGAGGCAATCTCCTCCTGTACCAGTCAGATCTGATTTGATGTTACACACACACACACTATAATAATAATAATATATTTAAAAAAAGTTTAGCTATTCTTGCTATAGCTTGAGAAGCTGACTTTGCTGAATGATTGAATAAGCCAGAGACTTCTTGAATTTGTGTTGCTAAATTTAAACTTTTATGAATTAAAGAATTGTGTTTTGCTATTAATCTGGCTTGAGACTGCTGGACTAAACCTGAACTTACATTGTGAGATATTCTTTGCCTCTCCTAACCCCCAACCTATTTACCTAATAAACCCCATTCTTGATACCACAACTAAAGTCTCTGACTCAACAATGAATAAAAGAAATGTTTGCTGCTGGTTTAGCTCTAGAAGCACCATGGGGCTGGGCTACAGGCTCTTTATCTGCTTTCTGCTCTGGGGTGGTGAGGGGCGGAGCTATTCTCATTCCCTCTAGCCATTTCACAGAGCCACTGATTGCCCTGTGCTCCCAAGTACCATTTTCTGTTCCTTTCACAACTACACTACAACTAAAACAAATGAAATTTTTTTTTCCACATTCATCCTATACTCTCTCAAAAATAATATACTGTTAGTGGAAAACAAAGCAATGCTAATTTTATTAAATTAAGTTAATTAGAGAAAGCTCCTATGGAAGCAAAGAAATCTATTGGATCCTCTCAAACTCAATTACTATTTTATTAACACAGAATGCTCTCTTTTCAAGATATTTGCTTCCTACAGACTTTAGAATCAGTTTTATTCAGTCTCCCCAGCATCCTACAGGGTGCTCTGGTGGCTAAGTGGGATGAAGCTGAGCTATTATACCAAAGGCATAGGTTCAAATCCACCAGCTACTCCACATACAGGTGTGCAATTTCCTCTCATGCAATTTACTGCCTCCAAAAGAAAAACCCCTGGAGGGTAAGCTATGAGTTGGTTATGACTCAACAGAGCAGAAAAACAGTAACATCCTATTGCTCCCCCCACCCCGTGTACTGTCAAATCAGACCTGAGTGGCACTGGAGGAAATTGCCCTTCCTTCTCTGGCAGAGCATCTAGTGGATTCAAACCGCACACCTTTGGGATAACAGCACAGCTTCTTGCCACTAGGCCATCATAGCATCATTCTATTGTGATTTAATATTTGAATGTTGTAGAAAATTCTTTGCTAAGAGCAAGAGGAAAAGAGTCTTAACAAAGACTAACACAGAGGTTACAAGAAAAGGGTTTACTATAGCAGAATTTTAAGAATGGCGCAGAATTGGTTAGCAGTGCAACATAATACATACTATACTACTAGAGCTCTTCAGGATTGAGTAGTCGCGCACGCGCGCGTGTGTGTGTGTGTGTGTGTGTG